TTTCTTTTCTTTTTTTCTCACGAATTTTGGCCAAAAAAACGTTTAAAATTATTCAGATTAAGAGTTTTAGAGGTCTGCTTGACAGTGAATTAATTGGCGTTTCGTTGATTATCTACAAATTGATAACTTATCATCAGATATATGCATTTGGTCGTATCGGAGAACCATTCGTGAAATTTGTGGATTTTCTTGTCCAGTTTATGACGAAATTTGCATCTCTTGCAATGCAAAAAGCACTGGTATGGGGGTTTTTTTTGAAATGTTTTATCACAATGATTGTAAAATTCTTGTAGTGGGGCATTGACAACTAGTACTGCATGTGTAAGAGTGCAATTGCACCAGTGAAACAACCAGTCTTTTTACGATGGGTTTATTCGTTTCGATGGTAAATTGGTACTGGCATATGGTAGGGGATTTAACCCGCCATTAGCTTATTTTCAAGCAAGTCTTAAAATTTTTTGTTTGTGAATGGCTTTTTTTTGTAAATGGTGCCGCTCGAGGTATTTCCGTATTTAAAGGAAAACTAGAAAATGAGAAGAAAAAAGGAGAACGAAGTGAAAGAAGGGGAAGGGGAGTATCAAAATATTTGTAATTGGAGTACTAAAATACTTATGATCTTACCTCCTTACTCCATCCCCGTATGCCTTTATGGGGATGGAATAAGGAGTTGAGATCCTGATAAGGAAAAATTCTTTTTTGGGCTTAAAATTGTTTCAGATGTCCCAGATAATGGTCAAAAATCCGCTTCAATTGATTTAGGAGATGGCAGGAGAAGGGGAGGGGTTAATAATAGACAAGAGAAATGGGGATGGGCTAAAGCTGAATAACAGTAACTAATATGTGGGAAAAGTTTATTATATGCATGGGCGGATCCAGATGGGAGGGGCCGGGGAAGGGGAGGGGCAGTGGATCTTTTGCCCCCTCCAGGCACCACTGCTGCAAAAGTCCGAGTCTAAAGCTAAAACCAAAGCCTAAAGTAACTTTAAGTAGCAGTGTTACAGCTCTATTACTAACTTTCACTTGGTTACACAGTGGGAGGGAATCCCCCTCCCCACCCCTTGCTCCTCCCTTAGGAGTCCCACTCCCTTCCCTCCCCCTGCTCCTCCCTCTACCCATTTGTCCCCCGCCCCCTACCCATTCGTGGCCCTCTCCCCCTTCTCTAGGTGATCGTCCTGGATCCACTTACGATTATACAAGAAATTTTCAAAAGTTAAAAGGGAGAAGAATTAGAGGTGCTTTTTAAAGGCAGAAGACGATCATGCATATGTGGATGCTTTGCAAAATCTGTGCGAAGCATGGTGGGTTATACTTCGAAACAGTGAAGATATCAATGATCTTGGCAATTTTTCGATTGACTTTAAGCAGTCAACAGTGGGTTTTGTAACGGCATTCGTACGAACAGTGATCGCGGAGCCGTCTGGTACTCGAGTTAAGGTACTTCTCCTTTTTTGTTGCAGTTGAAATCGATGGTGTGACAACGGACGTCGATGACATACGACTTAATGGACCGAAACATTTCATACCTACTTTACTAATTCTTTTCATGTTTCCCATCATTTTTTCTTATATTTTTTCTTTAACCTTAAATACAGCTACTGAAGTATCAGAGGGCATGTTAGATAGTTTAGAAGATAAGAAGAGAAAATAATGACTGAGAAGCTTTACGTCTGAGCGTTTGAAAAGAATACGGGCGATTAATTCCAATAACTCGGTGAAATTTAAGATTCCGGTTCGTGAATGCGATGAAATGAATGATGAGGATGATCGGGAAGTGTTTGGTCAAATTTTGGACAGTGTTGGGCGATTCGCTTCCAATTATGTATATGAGACTTTGCCACTGATTTTGCGGTAATCTTTTTTTTTCCAAATTTTTCTGAGATTGAGGAACAAAACGATTCGGGCATGTACTCATCGTACTGAATACATATATGACTGAAGATTCGCTTGATTAAACAAGCAGTACAGGATTAATACACTAATTTACAATGCTTTTGAGGGAGAGGTTACAGCACGAGGCTGCGGATGGTGTGGTCAAGGTTCATCACAGAATTGGTGAGTCGTACCCGCGAGGAAGTGACCAATGACCATTCGGGTGACTTTCGAAGAATATGCATATAAATCAGAAGGGTTGGGGGTACTAATTTACTAACCGGAATTATGCAGTCCAGAACTGGAGAGAATAAAGAAAGTAAAAAATCGGAGAGATTATTCCATAGTTCTGCAAAGCGAGTAGTAAAAAAATTTTTGACCAATTTTTTTTAAAATCAGTTGGGGATAATATTTTAAGCTACTGGATTTAGTATTAATGTTTAATTAAAAGCCAAAAATCCAGGATTTACTGTAATAACTGCAGTTATGCAGTCCAGGATCGGAGAGAGTAAAGACAATACCCGAGATAAATTATTCCATAGTTTTGCAAAGCAAGTGCTAAAAAAGGTTTCGAGCGATTTTTTTTTATCAGCTGAGGGTGATATTTTAAGCTATTGGATTTAGTATTAATGTTTAATTAAAAGCCAAAAATTTCCTTGAATCTGAATCAGTGTAGGCATAAAATGACTTCTTTTGTTTTCAGAATAACTTCTTTTGTTTGGTTATTACAACTTCTTTTTCCCTCCTTGAACTGCAGTTTTGAAAAGCAATAACTCTTATTTTCTTACTTCTCAAAATTGCAGTTCAGGGAGAGAAAAAGAAATTATAATAACCTCGATTAGCTGTAGAAAACAGACTCTAGCGCAGCTCTTCAAAGTATTTATTTATGTGTTCAAAGTAAGGAATAAAAAATTTTTATCAATTTAATTCATTTCGGCCGCCTCACTTGGACCGTCCATTTTTCATTCGGTCTTCTAGTGGCCTCCTAGAATTGGTCTCCTCCTTCTAGTGGCCTCCTAGAACTGAGGACCATGGAAAGCCATTCCATTGAGTACTGGACAAAATGAGGATTCGGTTGATCCACTACTTCGATTATTCTCATTTTTCGCGGCAAACAATAATGGAAAGTTATAGTAAGAAAGAATGGAAAAA